TGACGGGCCAGTTTCCCTAGCTCCAGTGCCCATTGACGGGCCAGTTTCCCTAGCTCCAGTGCCCATTGACGGGCCAGTTTCCCTAGCTCCAGTGCCCATTGACGGGCCAGTTTCCCTAGCTCCAGTGCCCATTGACGGGCCAGTTTCCCTAGCTCCAGTGCCCATTGACGGGCCAGTTTCCCTAGCTCCAGTGCCCATTGACGGGCCAGTTTCCCTAGCTCCAGTGCCCATTGACGGGCCAGATCCCCTAGCTCCAGTGCCCATTGACGGGCCAGATCCCCTAACTCCAGTGCCCAGTAGAGGGCCAGATCCCCTAGCTCCAGTGCCCAGTGGAGGACCAGATCCCCCAGCTCCAGTGCCCAGTAGTGGGGCGGTTTCCCCAGTACCTGAACCCATTAGCGGGCCGTTTAGCCTAGCGCCAGAGACTCCTGAGCCCATTAGCGGGCCGTTTAGCCTAGCGCCAGAGATTCCTGAGCCCATTAGCGGTCCGTTTAGCCTAGCGCCAGAGACTCCTGAACCCATTGGAGGTCCGTTTAGCCTAGCACTAGAGACTCCTGAGCCCATTGGAGGGCCGTTTAGCCTAGCGCCAGAGACTCCTGAGCCCATTGGAGGGCCGTTTAGCCTAGCGCCTGAGACCCCTGAGCCTGCTCTGTGCCGTCCAGAGACCCCTGAGCCTGCTCTGTGCCGTCCAGAGACCCCTGAGCCTGCTCTGTGCCGTCCAGAGACCCCTGAGCCTGCTCTGTGCCGTCCAGAGACCCCTGAGCCTGCTCTGTGCCGTCCAAAGACCCCTGAGCCTGCTCTGTGCCGTCCAGAGACCCCTGTGCCTGAGGTGGAGCCGCAATCGGCGGGCTCCCCTGTTCCTGAGGTGGAGCCGCAATCGGCGGGCTCCCCTGTTCCTGAGGTGGAGCCGCAATCGGCGGGCTCCCCTGTTCCTGAGGTGGAGCCGCAATCGGCGGGCTCCCCTGTTCCTGAGGGTGAGCCGCAGTCGGCGGGCTCCCCTGCTCCTGACCCGGGGCCGCAGTCGGCGGGCTCCCCTGCTCCTGACCCGGGGCCGCAAATGGCGGGCTCCCCTGCTCCTGACCCGGGGCCGCAATCGGCGGGCCCCTCTGTTCCTGAGCCGCAGTCGGCGGCCACCTCAGAGGCTGTTCCTGAGCCGCAGTCGGCGGCCACCTCAGAGGCTGTTCCTGAGCCGCAGTCCGTGACCCCTCCTGCTCCAGTTCCCGAGCCGCAGCTGACGGCCTCCTCGGACCCTGTTCCAGAGCCGCGGTCCGCAGTCCCCTCAGAGACTGTTGCTGAGCTGTTGAAACGGAGACGTCGTCCTCCTCCGAGGTTCCTGCTGCAACGGAGACGTCGTCCTCCTCCGAGGTTCCTGCTGCAACGGAGACGTCGTCCTCCTCCGAGGTTCCTGCTGCAACGGAGACGTCGTCCTCCTCCGAGGTTCCTGCTGCAACGGAGACGTCGTCCTCCTCCGACGTTCCTGCTGCAACGGAGACATCGTCCTCCAATGGTCCCCCTTCGTTGCCTGACCAACGGCCGGCCACCTCAACGTCTGCCGTACCCCCGGCCCCGCGGCCGGTCACCAAGGACTCTGCTTCATCTCCGGCCCCGCGGCCGGCCTCCAGAGCGTCTGCCTCGCCTCCGGCCCCGCGGCCGGCCTCCAGAGACTGTTCTTCGCCTCTGGCCCCGCGGCCGGCCTCCAGAGACTGTTCTTCGCCTCCGGCCCCGCGGCCGGCCTCCAGAGACTGTTCTTCGCCTCCGGCCCCGCGGCCGGCCTCCAGAGACTGTTCTTCGCCTGCGGCCGGCCTCCAGAGACTTTTTGTTGCCCTCGCCCACCCTGGGTGGGTTGTTTTTTGGACTCTGTTTTGTTTTTGTGCCCTCCTTCCTGGTTCCCCCTCCGCCCACCCTGGGTGGGTTGTTTTTGTTTCTGGACATTTTAGGGCGTCTGGGATCCGCCCTTAAGTGGGGGGTACTGTCACAGTCTTGGTTTTGTTATGTTTATTTAGAGTATTCAGTCTTACTTTGCTTCTTGTTTTAATGTCTAATTATTATTTTGTTTTCTTGTTAGTTCCTGTCCTCCAGGTTTTCCATTTGTTGTCCTCTGCTGCCCTCTTGTGTCCTCTATCCCTGGCTCTGTTCTCTGCTCTGTCCTCCCTTGCTGTTTTCTCTGTGCTGCTAGCACCTGTTGCCAATTTCCTCATCAGCTCTCTCCTTGTCTCTGTCCCCTTTAAAAACCCTCCCTCTTCAGTTCTTGTTTGCTGGATCCTCGTCTGACATCTCATCAAACCTCTGGTCAGTTCTCTGTTGTCCTTCCTTGTCTCTTCCTGGTTCTTAGTTTTGGTTTTTCCCTGATGTCTCCTAGATTCTGGTTCTGAAGATATTTTTGTTGGATTTTTTGACTCCTGTCTTGTGAGATATTTTTGTTGGATTTTTGACTCCTGCCTCTGAGCCTGATTACCTCCTACCTCAGAACCAGAAAACCCATTAAAACACATAAATTCATCACAACCAACTCGTCTCTGCATTTGGGTCCTCTACCAACACCACCAAACCGTGACAAAAGTGTGTCTGAAAAACTGTGGAGGGAGACGATTTCTTCTGGTAAACCCTGAATAAACAGTTTTATTGTGTGGGATAAACCTATCTTATTTTTTTGTTTTTGAATTTCACATAAAATTGTGCCCTCAAATTAAGTATTCAGAAAAAAGTTAAGAAATTAATACTCCCATCAGCTCTGTCATAAAAAATGAAAGAGGCTTTTTATACAAATCTCTTATAATCTCAGAGTTTGAAAACATCCCAGTGCATCCATGGATAAATATGTCTTTTTAATTCAATCATACTGCTTGGGTCAGCATTTCAATCAGCTTCAAGTGCAAACTTTGACTAGGCCACACTGAAGCCTTCCTTTTTCCACTTCTCAGAAGTGGGCTCACTGGAAAGCTTTTGACCATTATACAAGTACTGTTGAGATTAATGTTATAAACTAATGGTTGGACGTTGTGCTTTGCTTAGGAGTAGAAGTAACAGTTTCATTAATTACACCAAGATAAAAGTCCTGTAGATTTAGAGCAGCCAGACCATTGCACTACAATCACTATGTTTCACTATCAGCATGATGACCTTTTATTTATTTTTTTTAGATGTAGCAGGACATAAACCTTCCACAAGCTTTCATTTTCATTTCTTCAGACAAAAGTCTGATGAGACAAAGGTTTGAAAAGGTGTGTTCTGCTGGTCATCAGCATTTTTAGCCTTGCAGTTATTCCTTGGATATACTTAATTTCCCAATTTCTTTATTTAATTTCTGAATTTCAATCTTAATTTTGTAACTGTTAAATCTTGAAATTGAAAAATTCATTTTATTTTCTAAGGTTACACTTCAAAAGCAAATTCAATGTATTTCCCCTTAATTTAAGTATGTAAATAAGATGATTTGTCAATGGAATGAGTATTTTAACTCTAAAAATAAGAGATAATTATATAATATCCGCTTGAAATAAGACAATCGAGTTGTTTTTTATTGTTTAAAATGTAAATTGTCTTGTTCATTGGTAAAATGTCTCACTTACATCCTCAATTCAAGAAATAAAACGGTGATTTTAAGAAAGAAATACTGATTTAGATTTCATTTTTTTACAGTGTACCTTATTACCTAAACTACATATTTGAATTTGACAAATAAAGCAAAAACATAATAAATCTGAATTTCTGCAACTGATTTCTGTGGTTATTTGTTGTTGAACACAACAGAAAAAAACAGAATATAAAAATTTAAAGCTATTGTTAAAAAAAGGTATTAAAAAGCCTTATAATGTCATAAAATGCCATAAAACTGGATTTTCTTTTTCAAACAGAAGCAGAGAAACTTCTAAATCCCAGCGATATAAACAACATCCTGTGAGAATTATTCTGTCATCAGAAGCATCTGTTTTATTACCTCCTTATTTATGAACACCCCAGTCTGTACAAACAGGCCGAGGCAGACGGAAGGGAAACGACTGCATAAATTTTAAGCAAGCGCAGCTATAATGACTACTGAGCTTTACATGTTTGCAAAAATAAAAAGCTACTAACATGTTGTGTTATAGGATAAGAGACAAATGAAAATTATTATTCCACCAAGATGTTTTATGCTCAAACATATTAGCGACAAACTCACTTTATTTTTATCACTTTCTCCACTCCCACTGTGACTATCTGCCCTCTCCTTACGCTGTCGCTCCTTACTATCTTGTGATTTATTTGCCTTAGTTCCAATATTTGTCGGTACTGTTTTCTTCCCCTTGTCTAAATGTCACCCCTTCTTCTAAGACAATATGGGGAGTGGGAGAGAAGAGGAACCAGGGGGCAAATGTGGAGGGGGGCATAGAGGAAGGGGGGGGGGGGACTCGTAAAATGAGCAACAAACTTTGGGAAAATTAAACATTAGGTAAGACATGTTCTCACATGGCGATATACACCGTATGAAATCAACAAAATACTGATCAGTGGATTTTGTGAGAAACTATTATTAAAACTCAAACAGGTCAGTAAATATATCTGTGGATCAGAAACTCTGATAACAAATTCATGCATAATTTGGTAAGTAATCCTGCTTTGGTTGGATTTAGTTATTTTACTATAAAATTATAGCCTAATTCAGTGTCTAATGACATGCAAGTAGAAATCTTTACTTTACTTTTATAATTATCATCCTTTTCAAAATTTGCCCCCTCCTCTGTGCGTCAGCATCAGTCCACACCCCGGATCACGCCGCCCTCCCTCTCCCACCCTTAATGTCTTTCTCCTTTATAACCAATCACTCCCATCTCCTTTGCTCTCACACATCACTGCCGTCTCAACTAACCATGGACACATTTATTTGCAGAGGACAACATAGAAAACAAACCACATGAATAGCATTTTTCATCGTTTTAACAATTTGAGAAGAAACATCTGCCTTTACTCTTCAACAAACCTGTGGACATAAGTCTTTTTTCCCCCCTTTATTGGTGGTGCATAAAAATTTTTTTTTAAACTTAATCTGGGACATGGACATATTTTGTGTTTTCAATGGATGAGTTTGCCGTTTCTGGAAAAACCTTGTAAGTAAGCACATTTTAGAAATCAAAAAAGAAACTTTGGATGAACATTATCTTCATTTTTGATTATGCCAGCCTTCTTAAAACAGTTTTATATAAAAGCCTTTTTATGTTCTGTTTTATTCACAGTATTTTGACCTACATGTAACTAATTGTAGCAGCACCAACTGTAATTTAGAAATTTATTTTCTATATCTTTTTAGTTTATATCTATTTAGTTTTTTTTTTTTTTTTTTTTTTTGCTTTTTGACTAGATTTCTGTATGTAAAAGTTTTGGTGGCAGAAATTGTATATCATTTAGAAATATTTTTAGGAATTCTTACATTTATATCTATATATCACATTATTCCTCAGTCAGATATTGATATTCATTCTTTTTTCATTCTTTTTAGGGAATGTCCTTTTTAAAATAACATTCTCTGTAAGAGAAATTTTTTGGGTTTTCATGCTTTTCGCTGTTTATTTATATGAGAAAATTGGAGTCAGTTTCTTTTTGACATAAGTAATTTAGCGTTTAACACACTTTTCATATTGTTGCCTTCTTCAGAAAGAAATTTTCTCTGATTATATATATATATATATATATATATATATATATATATTTTTTTTTTTTTTTTTACACAAAAATAAACTGCTAAACACCTAGATGTTCATTCTGCACCCTAAAGATATGTGTTTAACTTGGTTTCCAACCATTCGATGGGCCTCCTCTTTAATAGATGCAAAAGTACATTATTTATCTAATTTGGAAATGTAGCAGCATACAATGCTCGTTACCTAGCAACACGAATGTAATAGATGCATAAATAATAATTAATAATACCTTAATTTAGTCGACTTAAGTAATAAAATAACCAAATCTATTATCCTTATTAACAGATATGCAGGGATCATCCTCTGACTCGGGACCAAAGCCATAAACCATTTCTTCCACAAACCAATTTGCACACAGCTACGACAGAGAAACTCCACGGTGGAGGTGGACAGAGTTCTGTCCAAGGACCCAGCCTGACGCACGGAGACAGACTGACAGACAGACAGTCTGATGCCAACTGTCTCACCTGTCATTCTCACTCCACCACTCCTCCTGCTGCTGCTGCTATGCACCACCCACACCACCATGGCAACCAACTGGCTGTAAGTTTAGCGTGCACTGGGAGAAGGAAAAAGAAAGAGTTTGTTTGTCATGCTATAACTTTTAAAAGATGGTGACATGTCTCTAAATCTCTTTCAGGAGCTTCCCTCTTTTTCCTTTGTCTCTCTCTGTTTGTGACCTTTCCTCTTTTCTCTCTCTCTGCAGTCATCTTTGTCCACTCTGACTACCTCCTCACTATTTTGTGTATCCCACTCATTTAAACCCTCATTTTCTTTTTGAATATGCATCTTCCCCGTGTTTGCAACTCAGTCTTGAATTACAAAGTGACATTCACCACCTTTGCATTACAGCTCCCTGGCAAGGCTGCCTCGCTCCAGGGCCGTGTCTGGTGCAGCTCCATGTGCACGGCTGAGGGGGCTGACCCCGGGACAGGTGGGGGTGTGCAGGGCGCGAGGGGAGGTTATGGAGTCCGTACGCAAAGCAGCAGAAATGGTTATAGAAGAGGTAATACAAGGGAGCATATAGGCTTCAGAATATGTATCAGTCGGCTTAAAGCAGATGAACCTGACAGAAAACACACTTTGTCACCCAGTGTCAACATCAGTTCAGGAATCGCCGATGGAACTGCTCCACCACCCCACGTGGGATTAATGTATTTGGAAGAGTCATGAACCAAGGTGCATACCCTAAAGATGATACCGAAACACAGGCTTACTAAGTTTAAAACATTAATTTTTTTGTGCTGCTGTTGTGGATCCAGGTACTCGTGAGGCAGCCTTTGTGCATGCTCTATCTTCAGCAGCTGTAGCATTGGCTGTGACAAGAGCCTGCACCCGTGGGGAGCTGGAGAGGTGTGGCTGCGACAGGAAGGTCCGAGGCGTCAGCCCTGAAGGTGAGCTTGATCTCCATTGCTAATAATCTCCAATTTGAGTCACATAGTGCATTTCAGGGCAGGTTGTCGTTACTTTATATTGTTTTGTGTACAATAATCCGGCCTGATAGGAAATAAAAATAAGAAGGAAATGTCAAAAAAAAAATTTAAACCATAGTGGTGGCAGCATCATGCTACCATGGGAATGGTTGTCTTCAGGAAGCTGGTAGGAGTTGTTGTGAAGATGTAGACTATGGAGCGAAATGTTGGACAATCCTTTATGAAATACTGTTAGTGGCTGCAGGTGCTAAAGATTTCAGAGGATGTTCACCTTTCGGTACAACCTTAAACATACTGCAGAGCTACAACAGAAAAGTAGGACTGGGCAATTAATTGCATTTGCAATATAGCTGCAGCTTAAAGAAACACAATTTTTAAATCAGAGGTATTCAGTTTTGGTCACATAACATTTAATACGAAAAAGATACTGACTTTCTAACTTCAAGTCTTTGAGTAATATGCTTTAAGAGGGTGTGCCGCCTCACAGAAGGACAAAGAGAGTTTCAGCTAGCTATTGCGACAACAGACTCTGGACAAGAAAACGTTTAGCGACATAAAACATTTAAATCTTGGAGTGAAACATTTACATGTTTATGGTTAAAGCAAAGAAAAAATCTAAATAAATCACAATATCGATAAAATGTTTTTTGCAAAATCCGGTGCATCATATGTTTAGACTTTAATATCTAAAATTTGCATATACCTATGCATTATTTTCTTTTAATGTAGTCTAAGTGCAAGTCACATAAAAGTATACATCCATTCACTGACATAAAGAACATAAAAGGAATGTGAGGATTTCACAATGCACAATACACCTGACCTTTAATAGGGTTAGCTGCTTCTTTCAAAAAGATTGGTTTTCTAATTTTTCATGAGTCGTTTCTAAAACTTAAAATGAAACTTATAAGGCTGCCAAGCTTATAATTTAGGATCTTTTACCTTCCAGGCTTCCAGTGGTCAGGGTGCAGTGACAACCTGTCCTATGGTGTGGCTTTCTCTCAAACCTTTGTGGATGAACCTGAGCGTGCCAAAGGGCTGTCAGCAGGGCGCCCACTCATGAACCTTCACAACAACGAGGCTGGTCGAAAGGTTTGTACTTGTAACCTTCATTTTACTTGGTTTTTTGTAACTCATGGACCTTTAGGTTAAACTTATCTTTTCCTATAATTCATCCATAGGCTATTCTTCACAACATGCAAGTAGAGTGTAAATGTCATGGTGTCTCTGGCTCCTGTGAGTTAAAAACCTGTTGGAAGGTCATGCCCCCATTCAGACGTGTTGGTGCTGTGCTCAAGGAACGCTTTGATGGAGCCACAGAGGTATCAAAACATGCTTTCAGCTCATTTATTAACTATATATCAGGAAGATTACACTAAAACTTTATCCTTCTAGGTCAGATTAACTCGTATTGGGTCCAGGACAGCTTTGCTCCCCCGTGACCCCTATGTCAAACCCCCCGCTGCCAGAGATCTTGTCTATCTAGCACCCTCTCCAGATTTCTGCCACCTTGACCCAGATAACGGCATCCCTGGTACTGCTGGAAGGAGATGTAACGGTAAACCCAAAAGAAGAACTGTTAAAATTGTAGAATTTTCGAACATATGATTACAAACTGACATTGCCATTACTTTAAACCCTCCTCAGGGACGTCCCGGTTGGCACCGGATGGTTGTGAGCTGGTGTGCTGCGGCCCTGGGTACAGAGCGGGCCGGGCTGAGGTAGTGCAGCGCTGCTCCTGCAAGTTTTCTTGGTGCTGCTCAGTCCGTTGCCAGCAGTGCAAGAACACGGTGACCATTCACACCTGCAGAGTTTGAAATGGCTTAAACAAGACTGGACAGAGTGCAATGGAGAACTTCAAAGAAGCCAGCAGAGAGACACTGTAGAAATCAAAGCAGAATAAATACAACAGCTTTCACTCCAAATGACATTAAATGCCTCCCAAATACATTTTTTGTTTCAATAATCCACTTTCTGGTTAACATCTGATTGGAAAGCTTCAGCAACCAACAGTAAAAAACAAAAAAACAAAAAACAAAATAAGAGAATTATTGAATCTTTCTTCAAAAACAATTCTCTAATTAAAATTGTTAAGGAGAAATTCACAGACGTGCATGCACATACAGCAACAACTTAAACGCTCACCTGACAAAGCTTTTGAAGCTGAAATTAACTGAAACTAACAGAAACACTACAGCATGTCACGCTTATGTCTTAGCAAATCTTTGAATGTGTTCTGTATTTATGTTTGCTGCTTTATTTATTTTTTTAGCAGTTGTGTTCAAAGTAATGGCCAGAGCCGTTACCTTGGCAACACGCCACAAGCCCACTTCGCAGCATCTTGAAAAAAAACTTATGATTTTAATGGTATATAAAACATTAAAGTAAGACTAAATATTTTAATATTTATTTCTTTTGTAAGTGACACTAGTATAAGTATGACAATGCCATTTGAGGTGTCCTTTATTAGAAATTAACTGACCTCATGGAGGCAACCATCCAATGCTAAACTGAGGATAGTTTACGCCTCCATGTAGTGATTAATTTTTAGTAATGACTACTTCTGGTATTAGTAAGAGTATTATCTCTTATATATTGTATGGAAGCCTAAAAAACGTCAAATTGTAAAAAAAAAAAAAAAGAAAATGGGATGAAGGAATTAGGGTGTACCACAATAAATTAAACATCACTTTATAAATGGATGAAAACTTTTTTTTTTCAAGGTCTAAAGGCTGCAGTTTTATGAGGTCCAATCATTCTAGGCTAGAATACCTGTTCTTGTTGGAAGCTGGTGGATTTGTAGCAGTACTCAGTATCATTTTCTCTTTACATCCAAGTATTAGTCAAGTGATTTACAGGAAATCTCAATCTTCAAGCATTTCTAGCTTTAAAAAATAACAAAGAATTGAAGGAAATCAGAGTGACCAAGTCCTAAAAAAGGAAGGGGGTAGATGGGTGTAGGGATCTAGAGTGACTAGATGAAACTAGATGACCAGAACTCCAAGGTTCTTCATGGATTTAATAAGGTGATTATGGTGTCTTTATTAAATATATGTCAGTTAGAGAACCTCAAACCCCAAACTTGTGGTTATCATGATTTTATTTCTAAATTTCAAAAAACTGCTGTTTTAGAAAGGCCTCATATTCCTTTTTCCCCACTATCCTCGGTTCTGTTGACAGAAAACTATTTGGATAAATTTCTCCTAACATTGTTCTGAGTGAAATGGAGAGTTTCCTCCAATAGATTTGCACTAAATGAAATAAAAGCTGCCGTGAAATCAATCCAAGTTTTACACGCTTTTCCAAACACCCTGGGATTATTTTGAACACAACTGTGTATCGGTCTTTCCGTCATTCATCCTCAAGCAGCAGGAAGAGCTTTTACTTATCTTGGTATCTGTATTGTTTTACACATCATCATCATGTAAATTCCTCCTGTAAACTCCTGCATATAAGATCTGTCCAAGACATCTAACAAATACAGTAGTTTACCTGAAACACAAACGTGTTTGCTATTTCTGTTTGATTGTTTCTGTGGTTGTGACATTAAGCTATAGTGAATGTGGTCTTTTTGCCCCCTTCTTCGGATCACTTCTCCAGTTTTAAAATAAGAACCACACTATTTTCAAGCAAAGTTGAAACACAACTGACATCTAAAACAGCACAGCTAAGTTTGACCCTTTCCTCGCCTCAAATCACTCTTTAACTTCACCTATGGTATTAAAACTTGCAATATATGGTTGGAATTCATCCAAAGATAAGCAGCTATTTAGCTCACATTTGTAAACCTCCTATAATTAAAATTTTAATGTAACATGTTTTCTTAAGACAAGTTATTTGCAATATTGCGGCTTTACCGTCAGCAATACAACGGTCATTCAAGCTGCACTGACTATGACCTAAGAACCGATCCAAAAATAAAAACCGTCATGTTAACCAAAGATTACAGCACCATCAAAGGAAGGATGCATGTATAAGGGGACAGGAGGTTTTCAAAAGAAATGTTATATTCATAACTATTTGAATCTCTATTTTTTCCCTTGATGATTATCTATAATGTATTTATCTGTGATTTATACATTTAGACACCACATCCTGAATATCCACCTGTCTGCTACTTTAGATAAACCAGTTTTAATGGCACCGAACATGGCAGGATGATGCTGAAAGATAACCTACCAGAGGCTCAGAACATTTAACGTCAGGCGTCTCCAACCCTGGTCCTCGAGATCTACCATCCAGGCCTTTGCCAAACTTCAACTTCATTCTGAAGAGGTATATGAATTAGATGTAGTGAAGAAAAGATACACTTCAAATCTGCAAGACATTAGATCTTGAGGACCAGGATTGGAGACCCCTGCTTTAGGGCAGCTACCCTTAACATTCATTCAGAGCTACAATAGAACGGTACAGAGAACATTCATGTGCTAGAGTTTGCATGGTTGAATTTCATATCTAAAATCCAATTAAGAACACCTGGTAGGACTTAAAACACTGGTCTCCAGAATTGACATCCTCAAAAACCAATGGAGCTTAAGATTTTCTGTACAGAATGATCAAAAAATTTGTCTAGATGTGCAAGGCTGCTGGGGGCATACCCTAAAAGACCTGAAGCTATGAATACACCAGGCGTCTTTATATATTGCTGACTCAGATAAGGGTTGAGACAATCATGTGCCTCATTTCAAATTTTTTAAATTCTCCTTCAAAACAATGTGCCATTTTTGTTTTGGTCTACTGATGAAATCCCAATATAAATCATGACATTCGTGCCTAAAAATCAACCATGAGACAACTTAGCTCTGGGCTCTATATTTAAACAATAATTCCACAACCCACACACAGCTAATTTTTTTAACTTTTGATAAAAAAGGATTTTATTAAAAATATCCTCTGATTAATTACACCCAGAACATTTCTAAAAAAAACTTCATCCTCTTATATCAAGTTTAAATTTTATCAAAAATATTACATCTCAATTCTTGTTTTTTACTCAAATCAATCATCATTGGTCATCTAGCAATTGAAAAAAAATCAATTAGGAAAAAATGAATTCAAGTTTACAATCAAAAAGGCTAAAAGATTTCATGGAACAGCTCATTCAATGGATATTGAAAAAAAACAAAAAAAAAAGTAAATCCAGTTGAAAATGCATTTAGCTTTGAAGAAAGTACACAGAGATGTTTGAATAGATGGTAAATTATTTTGGTTTTTATCAGTTAAACCAATAAAGGTAGATAAAAAACAAAAAGTACCACTGAATATTTCAGTTCTCCCTTTAAACGTCTTACCATTCTGTTCTTTTCTTTTTTCCTACTTAAAACACAATGAGAACAAAGGGCTCTTCAAAAACGAATATTTCCTTAAACAAATAGAACACAGCATGGAATAATTACAGTAAGCATCAAGGGAAAAGGAGAGGGGACACCTGAATAGACAGAATACAGTAGTTTCTAAAAGCTTTCAGTGAAGGACAAATATTGCATGTTGGAGGCCACGTTTAAGGTTAACTCAGGAGATACAATCAGAGAGCGAGCGGTAGAAAAGAAATCTATTCTTCCCACCCCGTTTGGTTTGTCCTTATTTTCTTTCTCCCAAATAACCATCAACGTTGCTCTTGAATATTCCCTGTGATTTCGTACATCACAAGTATCTCTCATTGTTGGTATTCTCTTATAGGAGAATACATTTCCTCTTAGTTTTGATCTCAGGAGGTTCCAGAGCTGCGAGTATGGCTTCATCAAACACGTTCTTCAGTCCTCGCTGTTTTCACCAGAAAGAGGAAATCAGATTAAATGAACGAAGATGTGGCTGAAATATTAATAACATGGTGAACATTTTTCTGCAGTACCTGTGTGAGCGCAGAGCACTCCACGTATTTGACGGCCCTGAGCTCTCGTGCCAGCTTCTCCCCGCTCTCGGTGCTCAGGGGGCGCTGTTTGTTCTTAGCCAGCTTCTCAACAGTGTTGCTGTCATCCCTGAGGTCTACTTGTGTGCCCACTAACAGGAAAGGTGTACTTGGACAGTGGTGAGAAATCTCAGGAACCCACTGAGAACAAAAAGAAGCAAAGACAATGAGATTGGATTACTTTATATATATATATATTTATACACACACACATACATATACATGGATTATTAAAATACAAAACACTGCACAAAAAATAGGAATAATCTGTAATTATTTGTTCTTTTTTTTAAGTATAAACATTAGGGAAAATAAAGTGTATCACCTACATTAAAATAAGCAATAATAGGGTAAAACACAGACTGAACTGCATGCTTAAATCAAGGCTGTAAGATGTCAGAAAAAATATCTAACAGCTCCTATTTATCAGATTTGATCCACTTAGAGCCCACTGTCAATAGTTGACACTTGAAATGTTAAACCCTACCAAATAGTAAAATCAAGCAGTCGCAGTTATGCACATATTGTGATAGTGATGGCAACTCTGACTGAAGACATGATGTAGCTCCATCTTAAATATACTGTTGAGCACAAGAAACTCTTTTGAGAAACAAAAAAAAAAGATTTAATTGAGAGAAAGATAAAAGCTTTTGGATCTTCACAACTTCTTTCCTGTTTTCCGGTTCTGGAATAAACAAGCCAGACACAAGAAATGCCTTCACATCTGCAATATGCATCTGGTAGATTTGGAAGAACTTTTGCAACAACAAAAAAGTGAAGCTAAATATTGTAAAGTCAAGCCATAATCTGCTGGAAGACAGATACTATATAAGAATGTTTTAGATTTAACCATTAAAGATAGTACATACTCATGAACACATATACAGCTTTTAAAAATACTCCAGATTGTAACCTATTGCTAATGTCTGTTTCTCACTGTATTGTATCACATAACCTTGAGGATGTGCACACTTATGCAACCACTTAAATTTTTTTTTTGACTGCAAAAAAAGATCAGGCTTGGTTTTTCAATTATGTAATGAATATTACAGGTCACAATAAGGGTTAAAAAAAATCTGAAATGGTCTTGGTCTTATTTTCTTTTTTACAAAAGCCTGGGATGCTAACAGGGGTGTGTAAAGTATTATAAATGTACAGTGATTAAAGAGACACCCCCTACCGACTGGTGTCCTTTAATGATGGCTTGTTAACTTGTGAACAAGGATAGAAAACAAAGAGAAAATGTAAATTTCCGTTACATCCATCAGTTAACAATTCTAACACAGGCCGTTTCAGAATTAGTCCTGTGGTTTAGCGGGTAAACGTTGTTTTTTTTGCATCTCTGAGAATTTATGGACCAACTGAAGGGTTCTTAATGCTTCCAGGAATCACATATTTGAAACAGGTTCATTAGATACAAAAATATAGGTCAATTTAGTTCAACAGCACGATAACAGAGGCCTTTCTGCACAGTTTGAGAGTCAAAAGTAGCATCTATTAAAAAAATCTAGTTTGAAGAAAAATAAAACATAAAGTAACCCTCTAATACCATGCAGGCTACACATTTTAGGAGCTGTTCAGGTCATTTTTTTGTCATTAAACATGACCATAACACCAGTTGGTCACAACAACAATTAGCAAATATTTCTTAAAGGATAAAGCTTTTTCTTACTCTTAATATCTACTATTATGTCTT